ATAGTTTTGGCGCCAGAGCGTTGTCCCAGGGAGTCTGGGGACCAACCCCTCTTTTTATTTAAAGTCGCGAAGAATCTAATATTCAGATAACGGTCAGCCAGAAATCACCAAAAGATATATAAGAAGTATGGAATGCCCTACGAATTGTAAGTTAAAATTTCGTTAAACTCTCAAATGCTATTCAATATTTAAAAAAATCTGTATTTGCTTTTTAGTTTGACTTGCTTCCTCTGGCAACCAGTACAAAAATAAACGGCAACCATACATCAGAAACCTTCAAAGCTACAGTAACGCTTCAAAACGAAAGCTGGAATCACCAGCATTTCCACGATCCGATTCTGTTGCATCTGCAGGGAATTTTGTTCTCGTTGCAGCGTACTTTGGTCATCAACTAACCTTTCGCTCGCGATGGGCACGTTTGGGACGGAAACAGCAGCTCTGGCTTGTGGCCATTCGAGTGCCAGTGGTTTTAGAGCTGTACGGCTTTGCGGGCACGCAGGTGGACTAAATTCTTCTTTGCGATTAAATTCTTTCTCCAACTTCACGAGCTTTAGATTCGTGGAAGGGAGTGGCTGAGTTACTGTGCCTCTCAAAGCTTGTTCTTTCGCCGCTGTCTTTGCAATCTCGGCTTCTAAATCAAGACACAACTCTTCCTACTTTAGGCGGAACTTCTGCTCTTCCAATTCCTGTCTCTTCTTTAACATAGCTTCCTCTGCTTTAAGTTCTGCAACACGAGCGTCTTCCCTTGCCCTCGCTAGTAGGAGGAATGATTTGCTGCTGGCATGTGAGCTGGTGTGACCTGAGTGCTCTGAAATCTTCGAGGCTTTGGAGTAAGTTTTCGCATCTGCACAGATAACGGAATCGTCTGGGTTTACTTCAGAATCCACTTGAAGTGAAACAACGAGGAGGTTTTCTTCGACTCTGAAGATCCAGTCTAATACTTGTCGACAGATGTCAATAAACTTCTCCTCTACGCGGCTGAAATAATCCATGCACTTAATCTTCTCTTCTTCGTCTACGAGTTCCGCTGCATACTTTTTGTGCGTTTCCCCAAACATACGAAGAGGCCTCTTCGGAGGTTGTAAGATTTTCCTTTACTTTTTGTAAGTTTCTTTCGTCCGAAAGTAATTCGATGACTTCATTAACTTTAGCAGTTACGTTTGATGGGACCTCTTCGAATGTTCTTAAGGCTTCGTATCCTTTCGCTACGAACTCCATCCGATTCGAGGATCGTATCCGGTCTTCTAGGTCTTGTTCGCGGATTTACTTCGTCCGATTCTTCAAGTGCTCGTTCTGAAGACATCATTAAAGCTTCGAACAAATTTTGACGATGTAAGTGCCACGGGCAACTGATTATTTTTATTGGTAAGGAGAAACTCTAACCGCACAATTTTCAACACGAAACGAAACGACACGATTAAAAATTTGTTGATATGTTGTGGATTTCCTGCCTAGTGGCGAAATAGCTGCACGAAGCGAGTGACCAAAAACTCGAAAACTGGACAAATACTGAACAAACTTCACAAACTACGATGAACAATACGGTTAAATACATGCTACGTTACGCAGTAACGCATGCTACGTTAAGCAGTAGTATGTTGGGCCTGTATGGGTAAAACCGAGAGGTCTGGGTCCNCCTCCGAAAATACCGTTCATTGTTCTTGCAGACTTCGTGGGGTTGCACAAATGGGGCTTCTGCCTCAGCAGGGAGGAAAGCTGGTAGTAGATTACTGTCAAGTGGCGGTATGTCCGCATTAACTGAAACGTAAAATCGATTTAAACTGTTGACGAGTTCTTGTTGGCTCATGATTTTCCCGTCACGCTCCAGTGAAATAAGGGATGGCTTTTCAGATCTGCCAGACATTTGGTTGATAAAGTTCCACCACTTGCGGCAGTCATCTTTCTTTAGGTGTTGTACTTTGTTCTTATAAAAGGACTTTTTCCTCTTCGCTATTTCTTGCTGGACTTTATATTTCAAAGAGCGCCAGGTTGGGACGTTGCCGCTGTGAAATGCTTTCTGTCGGTCTTTAATCATGAGCTTGAGTTCAGGAGTTATCCAAGATTGGACTTTCTTCAATAGGAAAGATTTACATTGTTTGTGCCTTATTAAGAAATGCATTAACATGCTTATATGACAGCACAACCTCCGAGTTTTTGTGCTGGATCCTCCCATCTTGGAAGAATACTTTGCTTAATTTTGGGGAGGGAGGATAAGGATTTGCCACACATTAAAGAATATTAATAATACTTAATATATTTAATACATTCTGCTGTGTAGGTTGATGGGATGGGAGGGAGAAGTATAATATCCTTTCTCGTGTTTGACCCCTGGGGTACTTTAAAGTAAAGTTACAGAGAGCTGCATGTAGGTACTAATGAAGTCATATTACCTCTAAGATAACTACATATTTTCCAAGTACTTTTGGTTGAATTTTAAAATGACCTCCCTAAATGCAAGACCGAAAGACTGCGCCGCAGCTTTTTCCCAAGGACTATTTTAGCCTTCAACAAATAAGAGTCTGCATACCCACATAGTTAAATGTTAATTCTTAATTATTTAATTAATTATCTTGTATTTCTAAACCCACTGTAGCCCAGTCCCTATCCACGCATGTAATTTTATGTATTTGTTAAATAATTGTAACCGCATTGTAATTCAGATTTTCTGTGAAAATGTGAGAAATAAACTTATCTACCTACCTACCTACCTTGAGGTTCTTTTTGAAATCTACAAACTTGAAGTACCCAACTATGTCTCCAAAGAGCAACTCTACAGATACTCTCACTGAGCTCATAGCCTTATTAAAATTTACCATCTGTGGGGTGAGTATCATGTTTCTAAAAGGGGTCTGGAGGTGCATCCTCAATGGATAGGCGGGGTCTCCATAAACACAAAGTGGACGATCCGCTGGCCCAGGTGAAAAAGCGTAGCGTTGCATATCTTGAAGAAGATTGGAGTCTGCTAGCATGGCAGCGTCGTGTCGTCTCCCCTCTATGAAAAAAAGGGCCACGGCAAAAGTTTGAACACCTCGGCAAAAGTTTGTAATCGCCACGGCAAAATTTTGTAAACACCACGGCAAAAGTTTGTGAACATCACGGCAAAATTTTTTGAACACCATGGAAAAAGTTTGAGAACATCGCAGCAAAAGTTTGTGAACATCATGGCAAAAATTTAAAAACGCCACGGCGGAAGTGAAATTTAAAGCGGAAGTAAGGCTCGTGCCAGTTTTCTGTCGAGTAACGTAGCCATGTGACATTTGCCGCCATTGCTGTGGAATTTTTGCAGTGAAGTCGGTAGATGCGGGAAAATGGACAAGAGGGGAGAAGGAAAAGAAACCGATGAGAGTGATTCTATGCAAGTATTCATCGCTTGTACCCTTTTCAAGGTCATAAAGCCTGTGAATCACAAATAATTTGCCACTGTCGTTTGTTAAAAACGAGCTTGATGAAAAACCTTCTAGATAGTAGGTCGCAATATTATGCGGCCAGTTGTTTGATCGCGTTACATACAACCATAACACTTTTCTGGTCCATCCATCAACGCAGACGTGAATAGGAAAGCCGAAGGGTTTGAGTTCATCACACTAATCACAGTGCCAAGTGTCATTAGGCCCCTTGTTCCTGTAGGTCCTTCTACGAAGCCTGTGTGCCCTTCTTTCCTCCGTTCCTTCGGGATCCAACTCTCTAAACAAAGTTTCGACAACAGGAAGGGGAACACTAATACCTCGCATCTTGAGAGTATGCCAAATATTTCTATAGCCTCCCATGCAGTCGGGTCCGTCTAACAGACTTCTGATCTTGTTTTGAACTAAATTAAGATCATATCGCATATTTCTTCTTTTCAGGCCGTATTCCTTAATGCGCCTTTTAAAAGTAGCAATACTCATTCCAATACCATGTTATTTATCTAAAAGTGCAAGTATTTCATCATAGGTAAATCCTTTCTTGAAATAATCGCGAATCGCCTCCTCTTCTCCATGTGCATCTCTATCCGCCATTTTGTGTATTTGAAGCTATGTTAGGACTGGCGCGAGCCATGTTCACTCTAGAATTTCAGTTACGCTGTAGGCTTTTATAAACTCAGAGACTTTTGCCGTGGTGTTCACAAACTTTTGCCGTGACGTTCACAAACTTTTGCAGTGGTGTTTACAAACTTTTGCCATGATGTTCACAAACTTTTGCCGTGGCGTTTACAAACTTTTACCGTGGTGTTCACAAACTTTTGCCGTAGTGTTTAAAAACTTTTGCCGTGATGTCCACAAACTTTTGCCGTGGCGTTTACAAACTTTTACTGTATGTTCACAAACTTTTGCCGTGATGTTCACAAACTTTTGCCGTGGTGTTTAAAAACTTTTGCCGTGATGTTGAGAAACTTTTGCCGTGACGTTTACAAACTTTTTCCGTGGTGTTCACAAACTTTTGCCGTTATGTTCACAAACTTTTGCAGTGGTGTTTACAAACTTTTGCCGTGATGTTCATAAACTTTTGCAGTGGCGTTTACAAACTTTTACCGTGGTGTTCACAAACTTTTGCCGTCATGTCCACAAACTTTTGCCGTGGTGTTTACAAACTTTTTCCGTGGTGTTCACAAACTTTTGCCGTGACGTTCACAAACTTTTGCAGTGGTGTTTACAAACTTTTGCCATGATGTTCACAAACTTTTGCCGTGGCGTTTACAAACTTTTACCGTGGTGTTCACAAACTTTTGCCGTAGTGTTTAAAAACTTTTGCCGTGATGTTCACAA